TTCCCCCCCCCCCCCCCATTTTATGGCGGGGGCATAAACAAATTGGGGAAAATAAATCCAGAAAATAAACGGTATCAAACTGGAAAAGTAGTATCATAGGTAGCTTGGTGTTTATTAAGCCCGATTAATTAACGATTGATTTATTGGACATACAAGCAAGCCCATGAAGGTCTCCCTCCGGATCCATACCGCTTGGAACGAGTGGATGATGGACGAATCCTGCAGAAACCAAACGAAGAAAGTGTAGCTAATTCTGATGCCAGAGAATCGCCAATCAACTTATGTTTCGACATCTCAGCGGTTTTCCCATAATTACGAAAATGTAGTGTTTCAATTATAGGCTCCGGTTCCATGTTAGTTTTTTTTTACCAATGTTAAAGCCTAGTGTGCATGTTTTTCCCCGGCTCACTTTCATGTTGACGTGATCGAACATGATCGATAACCTCATTAATTATTTCCATATTTTAAAATGAAGCATCATATAATAGTGTATTCTGCTTTTATTTTTTTACTTTCGAGTAGATTTGAAGGGGATGTGTTGAATGTCCACGCTTCTAGTATAAACATATTAATACAGGAGGATTTTAAATATTTATCCCGAAGTTCCCCCTAATTGGAATACCCCATCCAAAACAAAACAAACAAGAGGCCCATGGGCCTTAACGGTCACCTGAGTCTACAGTATTTATTTTTGTTGTTGAAATATGTACCAATTTGAGTAAAAAATAGTATAATGTTAACTTAACTTTGTCAGGACCATGAGCTGATCATTCCTAGACCAATTTTAAGTGAGATCGGCCTATTAGAACTTAGTAGCAAAATAGCGGCCATGGCAGCCAAATTGTATTTCTGATTGACCCGAAAAATAACAACACTTTGTCAGGACCATGAGTCGATCATTCCTACAAAGTTTCAGTTCAATCGGCCAAGTAGAACTTTACTTTAAGTTTGAAATAGTTTTTCAAAATGGCAGCCGTGGTGGCCATATTGGATTTCTGATCGACCCGAAAAATAACAACACTTTGTCAGGACCATGAGTCAATCATTCCTACAAAGTTTCAGTTCAATCGGCCTAGCAGAACTTGACTTTAAGTTTGAAATAGTTTTTCAAAATGGCGGCCGTGGCGGCCATATTGGATTTCTGATCGACCCGAAAAATAACAACACTTTGTCAGGACCATGAGTCGATCATTCCTACAAAGTTTCAGTTCAATCGGCCTAGCAGAACTTGACTTTAAGTTTGAAATAGTTTTTCAAAATGGCGGCCGTGGCGGCCATATTGGATTTCTGATTGACCCGAAAAATAACAACACTTTGTCAGGACCATGAGTCGATCATTCCTACAAACTTTCAGTTCAATCGGCCCAGCAGAACTTGACTTTAAGTTTGAAATAGGTTTTCAAAATGGCGGCCGTGGCGGCCATATTGGATTTCTGATCGACCCGAAAAATAACAACACTTTGTCAGGACCATGAGGCGATCATTCCTACCAACTTTCAGTTCAATCGGCCCAGCAGAACTTGACTTTAAGTTTGAAATGTAAAATGTTAACGGACGACGGACGACGACGGACGAAAACGGATAGCAATAGGTCACTTGAGCTAAAGCTCAGGTGACCTAAAAAACCTAGATGCTCATGCCAAATTTGACTAAAATCCCTCCATTCTATACAGAAGGATTTTAAAGATTTATTCCTATTTGACCCCACCCCTCTATAGCTACCACTCTTTGTTTATACAAAATTGAGTCCCCTTTGCCAAAGGATGCTCTACACAAAATTTGGTTAAAATCTCTCCAATCAGACTGAAGGGGTAGTCCTTTGGTGAGCTAATAAATGAACATTTGTATTATTAAGAAAAATCTGCCTTTTTGTTGTTGTATCAGTGCTCCAGATAACTTTTGAACATGTGTTTTTTTTTACCCCTTCCTCTCCAAAGTAGAGGGGTGAAAACTTAAATTTTGAAACATGAAGTGCTGTAAAAGCAACGTTACCTGAAAATGTTGTAAGACGTTGAATCATTTGTATGTGTTAAACTTTTATTATAGGGTTAAGAATGACTCAAATTCATATTTTTGTGTTGTCTAGACATGTGGTATTTTATTTCCATTTCACTGTGAACACAATCACAGTGAAATGGAAATAAAATGCCACATATCTATTTAAAATGGGGTCGGAAAATATCATAATAGGGTGTGGATGGAAAAACCACTGTTGGTCAAACGGATGGCCAAACCTTGTTGAACTTGAAATGTTCGTCGTGGTCCAAACACAAGAAGGACAACGTTTTCACAAAGGGCTGCTCGAATATTCAAAAAAGTGCCCTTACCCGACACGAACAATCAGAGTATAACTTGTCCGCTATTGAAAGTATCACAAAAGAAACTTCAATTAAACAAGAGGCCCATAGGGCCTGTATCGCTCACCTTGATATCTAAGCAATCATGGCAGAATAATCTCCAAATGAGATCCAAGGGAATATGCCAGACCCCAAGGCCAATCCTTGTAGCATATATATCTGTATTCAATTTTTCATGCCCAGCAATTTTATGTATGGTTATGGGGTGGGGATCTCAACTGTTTCCAAGCTGTGACGCAGAAACTAGGTCCCTACGGTTGTGGCCAGACCCCAGGATCAATTCTAATATCATAACTGCATTTGTCTCTTTTTGCCCAGCATTTGTATATATAGTTTTGGGGTGGGGATTTCAACCGTTTCAAAGTTATGACCCAGGGGTTAAGTCTGCAAGGGTGGGGCAAACCCTGGGGTCAATTCTAATATCATGACTGCATTTGTCTCTTTATGCCCAACAATTGTATATATAGTTTTGGGGTGGGGATCTTAACCATTTCAAAGTTATGACCCAGGGGTTAAGTCTCCAAGGGTGGGGCAGTCCCCAAGGCCATCCTGGAAGCATATGTGCATTCATCTCTTTGTAATCGGCAATTGTCTATATGGTTATAGGGTGGGGATCTCAACTGTTTCCAAGCTGTGACTAAGAAACTAGGTCCCTAGGGGTTCGGTCAGACCCCAGGGTCTATTCTAATATTGTGACTGCATTCGTCTCTTTATGCCCAGCATTTGTATATATAGTTTTTGAGTGGGGATCTCAGCCGTTTTAAAGTTATGGCCCAAGGACTATGTTTCCAAGGGTGGGGCCAGACCCTAGGGCCATCCTGGAAGCAAATGTGCATTCTTCTCTTTATACTCAGCAATTGTATATGTGGTTATATGGTGGGGATCTCAACCATTTCCAGGCAATAAACTTTTTTTGGTCCCACCCCTTAGCCCGGGGGGTCAGCCCCACCATTTGTACAATTTTGAATCCCTGCCTCCCATGAATGCTTTTGATTAAATATGATTGATATCCAGTGCATAGTTCTACAGAAGAAGTCGTTTATAGCAATCTAGCCAAATTGCACCCTTTTTGGCCCCGCCCCTCAGCCCCCTGGGGGGTCAGCCACACCATTTGTACAATTTTGAATCCCTGCATCCCATGAATGCTTTTGAATAAATATGATTGATATCCAGTGCATAGTTCTACAGAAGAAGTCGTTTATAGCAATCTAGCCAAATTGCCCCCTTTTTGGCCCCGCCCCTCAGCCCCCTGGGGGGTCAGCCCCACCATTTGTACAATTTTGATTCCCCACCACCTAAGGATGCTTCCAGTCAAATTTAGTAAAATTCCAATCAGTGGTTAAGAAGAAGTCGTTTAAAGAAATTGTTGACGGACGGACGACGGACGCCACGGTATGGCATAAGCTCACCTTGGTCCTTTGGACCAGGTGAGCTAAAAAAGAAACACGCTTCGTGAAACGGGTCACAACATTAATGGAAGACATCGACGATGTTGAAGTTACTGAGAGTAAAACAGATGACTGTGCTAATTCTGTATTTAGGACAATTTACTACGCAGCGAAAGAGATGAGACCAAGTGACAAATAGCGATTGTTTTAAAAGCGCCATGATTCAATTCTCGCTCATATAAGCGTTTGTAACAGGAGTACTATGCAAGCCTCTCAGTGACTCACTTGTAAGCGTATTATAATTTGCTAAATTGGTCCCGGAGACTGACGCAATGTTCCGGATTTTGCTTGCGTGAATTAAGCAAGTTCATTTATTTCTTTTGCGTAATTTGTGAATTATCGTGCGTGAATACGCATTCACGCAAGCTCTCTGGAGCACTGACATGCATTTTATTTTGCAAGCAGAAATTACATTTGGGCAAGAGGATTTTTATATGGTCTAGTTGCCCAGGTAAAGTACTCGGAAATTTATTTCTCTCTTCAAGACTGATAGCAACATTTTGTATGCAAACACTAGTACTGTTCGACATTTATTTATTACTGTACCTGTTGGCATATGTTTTTGTACTGGTAAAGTCCTTCCTTGGCAATGTGACTTTTGCGGAGTTCTACACAGAGCTGGAGGTACTTCTCCATAATAGGCTCGTGAATCTTCTGCCATGTTCTATGCTTTTTGCTCTTGATGACATCATATAGAGCATCCAAAGCTCTCTGCTTCTTTCCAACATCAATAAATTCTGAAAAAAAGGAGAAATAAATAGGGAGGATATGGGAGATGGGATGGTTTGACAGCAAGTCATGCTCGTTGATGATAAGCATAACATTATATTTGTAATTAAGAAAAGGTCACTTAGTACTGGAACATGGATAAAATATTAGATGAGCTATACCAAAATGGGTTAAACTCTGGAACGCAAGCATTTATTGACAAGCAACTTTCAATTAGCTGAACAAAGTCATCTTACTTGTGGTACAAGTCTTGTAACAGATCAAGACAAACCATTCTAGCCTTTGGCTCAGGTGAGCTTAAAACGCGATAACATGGGTGCTTGAACATTGAAGGAAAGTCTGCCAAGTTTAACAAGCGCTCACCTGAATATTTAAGCAGTCATAGCAAAATATTCTCATTAAATATTATACTCTTATACAAAAATCTCACTCGTAAACTATGTTGGTTCCATCTGTTGAAACTACTAGCGAAATATTATTACGTATATGATTATATGCTTTTTGGTTCTTCATCAGATGTTGTTTGAAGTGTTTGACATATTTTCCCCTGTGACCTTGTAAGTAGGTCAAGGTCATTTTACTTCTCAAACTTTGTTGGCTCTATCCCAAGAAGCTACCAGCAAAATCTTATGAATCCATTCCTTTTGTTTTTTTAGAACAAATCATTTGAAATGTTGTTGACCTCTGTGACCTTTAAAGAAGGTTGAGGTCATTTTCATTTGCAAACTTTGGCGAGCTCTATCCTTAAGAAGCCACCAGCCAAATATTAAGATTCTTTTCCTTTCAGTCCTTCAGAAGAAGTTGTTTTAAGTGCTAGACACTTTTGACTCCTGTGACCTTGAAATTAGGTCAAGGTCATTTTCGTTCTCAATCTTGTTAGGCTCTAACCAAAAAAGCTATAACCCAAATATCTTGACTCTAGGCCTGTCCATTCTTCAGGAAAAGTCGTTCAAAGGAATAGTTGACAGACAAAAAATAAACGTCGCACCATGGCCAATCTGATTAAAATCATCTGTTACATGGCTCCGCCTTAACATCTGAATGTACCGCGGTGAGGGTCACGTTCAAGTGACCTTTAGATGAACCAATCAGAGGTGCGCTGGCAAAAGTTTGCCAGCGAATCGGAATATCATGGTAGATAAATAGCGAGGGGTATCAAACAGATTAGTTTTCCAAAACAAATATGGCGGCGGCAACTGACGTTTCTACGACGCCAAGGAAAAAGTACCCATTGGGGAATAATTGCGTAGGCAACACCACCATACAGTCTTTCTTCTCTAATAAAGCTTCAATTTTTTGTCTGTTCGGGTTTCAGATGATCTATCTCAAATAACTTCAGATCTTTCGTATCATTCTCATCAATGTCCGATATATTTACATCTCCGAGCGCCCTTTTGAAAGAGGGTCTCTGATTTGTCAAAATTTAATGAGTATTTATATTTATAAAGGTCACCTGAACGTGACCCTGACCGCGGCACACTCAGATGTTCAGGCGTAGTACGAAGTTAACAAAGCCATGTAACATATGATTTTAATCAGATTGCACTTCGGGAAGGTGAGCTAAAAAACATGTTTATTGAAATATAAGGTACGCATCTTGCTTTGTTCAATTTCATAGGGTGCATGATGAATCAAGTTGGTCTTGAAACAAATTTAATGAACTGCGAACCAAAGCAAGATTCAATCCTTAATACAGTACAGGTGATGGGTAATGTCAATTAAGCTTCTGTAAAGATGATTTCATGGTATTCCATGGTGAACAGATTGTCAAAGATTGTGTGCGTTATGCGCTCCATGCCCTTCTCTTTCTCTTACAAATGGTGTTGGTGGTCCTTGGCTCCCTGTGGTGACAGAGAGTTAGAACCTGGGTTGTTGAAATGTTCGAGGGCAAATGCATTAAAAAAGAGAGAAGTGGTGTGGCAGGTTCTAATTGTACATGTACATATGACCTCGGAATTAGATAACTAATCTAATTCCGTGATAGGACAAGCTTATTGTCAGGACCATTGCCTGTGGGGTCGAGCGACAGACTGACAATTTTCTGGGCGTCGCTGCTTCAAATTGCAAAGATATTCTTTCCTGCTATTGAAAAGAAATTTATGAAAGAAATAAGACCACAACACCACAATGTTAGCGACACACTAACCCATATGATAACGATACCCTTCTGTCCCCTTATAAAACTACTTTGACCGAAAGGCCCAATCAGGGCCAATGCACATTTCATTTACCATTTGCTCGTTTAAGAGCATTCTCTGGTCGCTGAAAGTAGGTCGGCATCTTATTGATTTAGCTGCTCATCCACTTCCTTAAAATACGTACATATTTGAATTCTCGAATATAGTTTTTTTCCTGAAAATTATAGGACGTAGTGGCAATATGGCGGTAGCCAGCTCGACCATGTGGGAAATGAATGCAGTGACGTCATATTTGAAAATTTTCTCGAAATGTTAGGAACAGATAAATATCTTAGATTATTAATAAGAAATGAAATTCTAAAATAATTATTATTTCTAATATATTTTCAACAAAATAATAGAATATATATATATTAACACGGACTTAGTATCGTCTCGTTCAACCAGACGCTTGATCAGCGTAGCTTTCTCAGACAATAAGAGTCTGGTTGAACGAGACGGACTATTAAGTTTGGTGAATTCTGGGTAAAATTCAACATGTCGGCCATCGCGGGATTTATGTCGGGGAAATCAGCAGGCTTGATTGGTAAAGTTCAATTGAGACATCAGATAGATCATTGCGGGTTTCAATGAAGGTTATATAAAATATATTAAATATATGTACATTTTTAATTTGGACCAAAACAAGACCCGCCTATACACACTGATTATCTTGCAAATAGATCACGCCCCTTTTCTAGTTTCACTTCAGTAAATGATATAATGACAGACACACTAATATTACTTGTAATAATAACGAATTCTTAATTTAATCGAGGAAAGAGGGTTGGCACAAACATCTATCTTCCACACGAATTTATCTGTTATAAGCCCCAACTCGTTTCGCACCCATCTGCCTTGGGGCGGGGGTGGTGATTGACTCTGATGACAGTGATGTCAATTCATGTGCCCAGAGATTGAGAGAAGGAAGAAGTGTTCAGGAAGGTTTTCGCGTGCGCAGGAATTTGTTTCAGATATCCCCACTTTTTTTCGTCTGATTCATACAACACGTACCCTTACCAAACTACAATGCACATGCAAAATTTCAAGTTGATAGAGCCAGTAGGCCTATAAAGCACAGAAAATAATTTTGCTCAATATGCAATGCAAGGGAAGTAACTTGTATAGGAATTCTAGTAGAAAGCTAAGGATGTCACCAAGTTAGCTCTATGTTGAAGTTTGAAGTGTCTCATTATGATGTTGTTTTATGACGTCAACAACTACGTAATTTTCAAAAGATTATATAAAGCTCTTCCTGTCACCAAGATTGCCACATGATATATGTCTATGGAATGCTGAAATCATTATCTATTACATTTGTACTTCAAATAATTAAACCACTACAAATTGCCCATGTTGTTATATCTGCCAGCATTATGGTATACTGTAAAACTTGTAAGCGTAAGTAATTAAGTGGATTTGTTCTACCCGCAGTGTATACGTATGATAATGATTGATAATGTGTGTATGATATATATATGGTTCAATGCTATATCAACTACAGTGTTCTCCCCATAATTTTTTTGATGTGCTATGGTATTAATCAACCCTTCCATCACAGCGCGGCGCTGTCGACCATTACCGCGTTGCAACCCATCCATCATGCGCGACACCACTTTTAGAAAGGAAACTTAAAACAAGAGTTATAGTTGATTTAAATAAATAGCATTACTCATCATCCTGACATTGCATTATATTATTGCTCATTTTCTTGCCCTATTCTTTTTCTTTATCATTATTAGCTCACCTGCCCGAAGGGCAAGTGAGCGTATGTTATGGTGCGGCGTCCGTCGTCCGTCCGGCTTTTACTTTTTACTTTAAACAACTTCTTCTCAATAACCAAAAGGCCCAGGGCACTGATATTAGGCCTGTAGCATGCTGGGATGAAGGGCTACCAAGTTTGTTCAAATGAATGACCTTGACCCACTTTCAAGGTCACTGGGGTCAGATGTCTTAAAATCTTTAAACAACTTCTTCTCAATAACCAAAAGGCCAAGGGTACTTATATTGGGCCTGTAGCATGCTTGGATGAAGGTCTACCAAGTTTGTTAAAATAAATGACCTTGACCAACTTTCAAGGTCACTGGGGTCCGATGTCTTAAAATCTTCAAACAACTTCTTCACAATAACCAAAAGGCCCAGGGTACTGATATTTGGCCTGTAGCATGCTGGATGAAGGGCTACAAAGTTTGTTAAAATCTATGACCTTGACCAACTTTTAAGGTCACTGGGGTCAGATGTCTTAAAATCTTCAAACGACTTCTCAATAACCAAAAGGCCCATGGTACTGATATTGAACCTGTAGCATGCTGGGATGAAGGGTTACCAAGTCTGTTAAAATGAACGATCTTGACCAACTTTCAAGGTCAAAGGGGTCAAATGTCTTAAAATCTTCAACCAACTTCTTCTCAATAACTAAAAGGCCCAGGGTACTGATATTGGGCCTGTAGCATACTGGGATGAAGGGCTACCAAGTTTGTTAAAATGTTTGACCTTGACCAACTTTCAAGGTCACTGGGGTCATATGTCTTTAAATCTTCAAACGCCTTCTGAATAACCAAAACGCCCATGGTACTGATATTGGGCCTGTAGCATGCTGGGATGAAGGACTACCAAGTTTGTTCAAATGAATGACCTTGATCCACTTTCAACCAGATGTCCTTGTTCGACATTCAAGGACAGGCGTCATATGTTTAAATCTTTTAATAGGTTCTTATGAATCAAACACTGATATTCTGCCTGTAGCTGTATTTTAGTCCACTTTTAAGATTACAAATGTGAGGTTAATACCAGGTGAGCGATGCAGGCCCATTGGGCCTCTTGTTTTTTTAACAACTACAAATAAAATCGTCGGTTTCAAGAAAATGGATAATTTTAGCAAACACTTCAGCATATTTTCCCAAGAATATCATCATAGAAATAAATGAATATATGTCCCAAGAATAAATAAATTATAATAACATTTCCAACCAAAGGTATTTATTTGGACAAATATTTAATTAATTTTTAAATCAATGAATTTTTTTTTGATTTTTTTAAAATCCCTTGGTTATGAAATTAGCAGGGCCTGTTATCATTCAGCAAACAAAAAATCTATAAAAAATCACAACAATGCTGTTCTCAGTATAAACTAACAGTGATATAGTTATCAAAATGAATTGAGTTACTATCAATAGCGGTATCAATGACATAATTTCTAAAGAGTTGCGATATTGTTCAAGGGAAGGTGTTTTTTAGTTAAACCATCGATCATGCATACAATGTGTGAGTCCTCTTCTCTATATCTTACTGGTAAGTTTTGAGGAATTTGAGGTTTAAATTATCAAAAACCTTCTCTTTCTGTACTATTGGAGGGATTTTATCCAAATTTGGCCTAGATCTAGAGTATCCTTTGGCAAAAGGGGACTAATTTTTGTATAGAGGGTGTTGCCCTTCTGGGTGCAGTAGGTACAGTAGGTCTTTACCACAGATTACTTTAGTACAGTAGGTAGGTCTTTACCACAAATTACTTTAGTACAGTAGGTAGGTCTTTACCTACTGTACTAAAGTAATCTGTGGTAAAGACCTATCTACTGTACTAAAGTAATCTGTGGTAAAGACCTTACTTCTGTACTAAAGTAATCAGTTCTAAAGACCTACCTACTGTACTAAAGTAATATGTGGTAAAGACCTACTTACTGTACTAAAGTAATCTGTGGTAAAGACCTACAATGTACCTACTGTACTAAAGTAATATGTGGTAAAGACCTACTTACTGTACTAAAGTAATCTGTGGTAAAGACCTATCTACTGTACTAAAGTAATCTGTGGTAAAGACCTTCCTACTGTACTAAAGTAATCTGTAGTAAAGACCTACCTACTGTACTAAAGTAATATGTGGTAAAGACCTACCTACTGTACTAAAGTAATCTGTAGTAAAGACCTACCTAATGTACTAAAGTAATATGTGGTAAAGACCTACCTACTGTACTAAAGTAATCTGTAGTAAAGACCTACCTACTGTACTAAAGTAATATGTGGTAAAGACCTACCTACTGTACTAAAGTAATCTGTGGAAAAGACCTTACTACTGTACTAAAGTAATCAGTTCTCAAGACCTACCTACTGTACTAAAGTAATCAGTTCCAAAGACCTACCTACTGTACTAAAGTAATCTGTGGTAAAGACCTACAATGTACCTACTGTACTAAAGTAATATGTGGTAAAGACCTACTTACTGTACAGTAGGTACATTGTAGGTCTTTACCACAGATTACTTTAGTACAGTAGGTAGGTCTTTAGAACTGATTACTTTAGTACAGTAGTAAGGTCTTTACCTCAGATTACTTTAGTACAGTAGGTAGGTCTTTACCACAGATTACTTTAGTACAGTAGGTATGTCTTTAGAACTGATTACTTTAGTACAGTAGTAAGGTCTTTACCACAGATTACTTTAGTACAGTAGGTATGTCTTTAGAACTGATTACTTTAGTACAGTAGTAAGGTCTTTTCCACAGATTACTTTAGTACAGTAGGTAGGTCTTTGGAACTGATTACTTTAGTACAGTAGGTAGGTCTTGAGAACTGATTACTTTAGTACAGTAGTAAGGTCTTTACCACAGATTACTTTAGTACAGTAGATAGGTCTTTACCACAGATTACTTTAGTACAGTAGGAAGGTCTTTACCACAGATTACTTTAGTACAGTAGGAAGGTCTTTACTACAGATTACTTTAGTACAGTAGGAAGGTCTTTACTACAGATAATTTAGTACAGTAGGTAGGTCTTTGGAACTGATTACTTTAGTACAGTAGGTAGGTCTTTAGAACTGATTACTTTAGTACAGTAGTAAGGTCTTTACCACAGATTACTTTAGTACAGAAGTAAGGTCTTTACCACAGATTACTTTAGTACAGTAGGTAGGTCTTCACTACAGATTACTTTAGTACAGTAGATAGGTCTTTACCACAGATTACTTTAGTACAGTAAGTAGGTCTTTACCACATATTACTTTAGTACAGTAGGTACATTGTAGGTCTTTACCACAGATTACTTTAGTACAGTAGGTAGGTCCTTACCACAGATTACTTTAGTACAGTAGGTAGGTCCTTACCACAGATTACTTTAGTACAGTAGGTAGGTCCTTACCACAGATTACTTTAGTACAGTAGGTAGGTCCTTACCACAGATTACTTTAGTACAGTAGGTAGGTCCTTACCACAGATTACTTTAGTACAGTAGGTAGGTCTTCACTACAGATTACTTTAGTACAGTAGATAGGTATTTACCACAGATTACTTTAGTACAGTAAGTAGGTCTTTACCACATATTACTTTAGTACAGTAGGTAGGTCTTTACCACAGATTACTTTAGTACAGTAGATTGAGGACTTTACCTCAAATTCAAGCTTGGATTCATAGCATAGATCATAAACCCCAGGATTTAAATCATCTTTTATCTCGCAACCACTATAGATTTCCTCACTCCCAACTCATTTGAGGAACTGGCTAGGAGTTGGTAAACATGTTTGGTTATCTGCTAGTGGGCAACACCCTGGACGTGATTTCATTGGTCATTCTTCTAAATATAACGTCAGGTAACAATGCTTTGCACATCATCTTCCATTGTGACGCCATAGTTCAAGTCAATGGTTTCCCAGATCAGAAACGGAAATATTGTACATGTATTCCCAAGAGAAATATAATGGTTTTCTATAGATATAATATCTGATCATTGTGAGAGAAAAGTGATGGTTGATTATCATGTTTATCCTACTCCCTTCAGTGAATTTACAAATTGTAAAAGACACTCGGTATTCCTTGTATCTTTATATAATTGGACAAAATAACTAACTAAAGTTAGATAAACAGGATAACCAACCATCACTCATTTGGGAACCTCATTTGGGAACCTCTGTATAACTCATTTGCCTTATAATGAAACACGGTCAACTGTGATATTAATATATTATTCAATTATAGCCTTTGGCTGAGGTCGATACCTGGGTAAGATATATTGACAGAGGACTCAGTCCGAGGTCAATATATCTTTTTCTCGGGTTGATAAATCCAGGTATCGACCGAAGTCAAAGGCTACAATTGTTTTATTATTTTCAAAACAGTAATGTTAGCAATCTGATAAAAAAACATCACCGCAGAAATCTACGAAAGCGGGACGATGCGTTTGTTTGGAGTCGCGTCATAATTCTATTTTTAGAAACACCCAGTCCTTCAACAAAAATCACGCGCTCCAAGTCAATATCGGTTTATCGGTGGACACGTGATGCATTCCTGGCCAATCAGTTGTCGGGAATAGTATGAAAAATAATAACATCTATTATTTAATGTTGTTCTCCTTACTTCAGAAAGGGATACCAATGGAGACGTGCTGTGGACCTGGTCATACCCATCTGTCTCAACAATGGACAGAAAATTCTTCATGGAGAAGTCACAGATCCAGACAGGCAATATCATGGTACCTTTCCTGTACAGTCAATGGAAGGGCGACTGGTACTACATGTTTAGTAAAGCTGTGACAGACACCAGTAATCTTCCTAAGGTAAGTAGCTACATGTTTAGTAAAGCTGTGACAGACACCAGTAATCTTCCTAAGGTAAGTATCTACATGTTAAGTAAAGCTGTGACAGACACCAGTAATCTTCCTAAGGTAAGTATCTACATGTTTAGTAAAGCTGTGACAGACACCAGTAATCTTCCTAAGGTAAGTATCTACATGTTTAGTAAAGCTGTGACAGACACCAGTAATCTTCCTAAGGTAAGTATCTACATGTTTAGTAAAGCTGTGACAGACACCAGTAATCTTCCTAAGGTAAGTATCTACATGTTTAGTAAAGCTGTGACAGACACCAGTAATCTTCCTAAGGTAAGTATCTACATGTTTAGTAAAGCTGTGACAGACACCAGTAATCTTCCTAAGGTAAGTATCTACATGTTTAGTAAAGCTGTGACAGACACCAGTAATCTTCCTAAGGTAAGTATCTACATGTTTAGTAAAGCTGTGACAGACACCAGTAATCTTCCTAAGGTAAGTAGCTACATGTTTAGTAAAGCTGTGACAGACACCAGTAATCTTCCTAAGGTAAGTATCTACATGTTTAGTAAAGCTGTGACAGACACCAGTAATCTTCCTAAGGTAAGTAGCTACATGTTTAGTAAAGCTGTGACAGACACCAGTAATCTTCCTAAGGTAAGTATCTACATGTTTAGTAAAGCTGTGACAGACACCAGTAATCTTCCTAAGGTAAGTAGCTACATGTTTAGTAAAGCTGTGACAGACACCAGTAATCTTCCTAAGGTAAGTATCTACATGTTTAGTAAAGCTGTGACAGACACCAGTAATCTTCCTAAGGTAAGTAGCTACATGTTTAGTAAAGCTGTGACAGACACCAGTAATCTTCCTAAGGTAAGTAGCTACATGTTTAGTAAAGCTGTGACAGACACCAGTAATCTTCCTAAGGTAAGTATCTACATGTTTAGTAAAGCTGTGACAGACACCAGTAATCTTCCTAAGGTAAGTAGCTACATGTTTAGTAAAGCTGTGACAGACACCAGTAATCTTCCTAAGGTAAGTATCTACATGTTTAGTAAAGCTGTGACAGACACCAGTAATCTTCCTAAGGTAAGTAGCTACATGTTAAGTAAAGCTGTGACAGACACCAGTAATCTTCCTAAGGTAAGTATCTACATGTTTAGTAAAGCTGTGACAGACACCAGTAATCTTCATAAGGTACGTATCTACATGTTAAGTAAAGCTGTGACAGACACCAGTAATCTTCCTAAGGTAAGTATCTTCATGTTAAGTAAAGCTGTGACAGACATCAGTAATCTTCCTAAGGTACGTATCTACATGTTAAGTAAAGCTGTGATAGACACCAGTAATCTTCCAAAAGTAAACCACTACATATTTAGTAAAGCTGTGACAAACACCAGTAATCTTCCTAAGGTAAGTAGCTAAATGTTTTGTAAAGCTGTGACAGACATCAGTAATCTTCCTAAGGTAAGTAGCTAAATGTTTTGTAAAGCTGTGACAGACTCCAGTAATCTTCCTAAGGTAAGCAACTACATGTTTAGTAAAGCTCTGACAGACACCAGTAATCTTCCTAAGGTAAATAACTACATATTTAGTAAAGCTGTGACAGACACCAGTAATCTTCCTATATATATGTATATGCTTACTAATTCTATTTTTAGCTCACCTGGTCTGAAGGACCGGTGAGCTTATGCCATGGCGTGGCATCCGGCGTCGGTCAACTTTTCCTAAAAATCGCTACTAGTCATGAACGACTGAGTAATTTTATACCAAATTTGGTCAGAAGCATCCTTCTGAAAGGGAACAAATTATAACGATGGGTCTGGCCTCCCTGGGGGCTGAGGGGCCCGATAGGGGAAATAGAGGTAAACCTTTAAAATCCTTCTTCTACCATGAAGGGATTTCTTCCCAATTTGGTCTGGAGGATCTTGGCCAAAAGGGACTCAATCTTGTATAAACTGTGAGTGTGGCCCCCCATGGGGGCAGAAGGGAGGGGCCCAATAGGGGAAACATAGCACTCCAAATTTGGTATGAAGCATCCTTGGATGAAGGGGATTCAATTTTGTATAAGTAGTGGGTGTGGTCTCTCAGGGGGCAGAAGGACGGGGCCCAATAGGAGAAATAAAGGTAAAACCTTTAAAATCCTTCTTCGACCATTGAGATTAAGGGATTTTATTCTTATTTAGTCTGAAGCATCCTTGGGCCAAGGGGACTCAATTTTGTATAAACAGTGGGTATATGATCCCCCCCCCCCCTCTCTCTATGGGCATAGGGGTGGGGCTCTGTTTGAAGTTTGTTCATGCTTATCTCAAGTACTGGATGGATCTTTCTGAAATTTCATATGTACTTACAGCACCTATCATGGAGTGCTATATCTTTACTTCATACAAACTATTTTAAACATGCACAGGTGAGCGATACAGGCCCTCTGGGCCTCTTGTTAGGATCATACTACTGTAAAAAACCTTGTTTTTCTAACTTTACAGGTTACCCATTTCTCTCTAGTACTTGTAGCCAAAGATTTCAACCCAGAAAAGTATAAAGAACTTTGTAAGATATTATCGAATAAGTACCAGACCTCAGGAAATCCTGCATCTATGTTGGAATGTTACCTAAGTGTGTTTACTAGAGGGTCGTGTTCCACAGACGAAAATGGTCGCTTTTCTGCCAGAGAATATGACAATAAGAAAGCCTACTTAAGGTCAGAACTAAGAGGTAAGTGATCCTTTAATTCATGAAACCATATTGGTTTTAATAAAAGCCTCATCACATAGGATAGATCTTTATCTAAACAAACAGAGCTAGAAAGCCGCTGTTTGGCACCTAATTTATGTGAGGCCTCCTAGGGTTTATTCTTACTTCAGACAATTTATTATTTTGTTAAATTTCACATAAGTTATTCAATTCAAAGACGCTATCATACATCAACGAACAGACAAAGACGCTACCATACATCAACGAAGAGACAAAGACGCTATCATGCATCAACGAACAGACAAAGACGCTATCATACATCAACGAACAGACAAAGACGCTACCATACATCAACGAAGAGACAAAGACGCTATCATACATCAACGAACAGACAAAGACGCTATCATACATCAACGAACAGACAAAGACGCTATCATACATCAACGAACAGACAAAGACGCTATCATACATCAACGAACAGACAAAGACGCTATCATACATCAACGAACAGACAAAGACGCTATCATACATCAACGAACAGACAAAGACGCTATCATACATCAATGAACAGACACGTGTACAAAATCTATCCCAGCTACATTAACTTCTGCAAACCGAACCCTCCCAAAACTGGCTAAATGTTTCTGTCCCATGCATGGTCGGCTTAGAGGATTTTAATTGTAAATACAATCATTATAGGTTGTTGGTTGTATATCCATATTTCCATAGACATATAGTAAGGACACCGGTATATTTCCATAGACATATAGTAAGGACACCGGTATATTTCCATAGACATATAGTAAGGACACCGGTATATTTCCATAGACATATAGTAAGGACACCGGCATATTTCGCTTCATCTTAATAAAACCTCATGAAATTAAAATAGACCCTAAAATAAGTTAAGACATGTATGCATATGCTCAATATAATTTTTTCTTTCAAATATGATGCATTTCCTGTATGGAAATACAGTGTATGGTTGCAATTTTGTGAACAGATCCCCACACTTTCCAAGAAATTTCCACACTGACAATGAAGGAGGGGGTAATCCCAATATCTATAAGCATTCATATAGCTGGACTTGGTAATAAAGGGGAAATGTAAGATCGACGTTAAAGAGAACAATATTAGGGTGACTTAAATTTAAGAAGAAACCCATGTCACAAGGGGGATGGAGATATCTTCAAAATTTAGAAGAAGCAGCAAATCATCACTTATTAGGATACCCCTGTAATTCTGCACCCAAAGTGGAGTGAATGGCAGTTATTAAATCGTGGGCTGTTATTGGAACCAATGAGTATTTCTATTCAAACTGTCCTTTGTCTGTGGTCAGTGGTCTGTTGTTTCTATTTCTCAGCAAATACTGGAGGGATCTTTCTCAAATTTGATACTTTATGTATGAATACATAATATGTAATTAAACTTCACATGATCGTGAACTGTTTATGTGTCTATGTTTATAGGTTTAAACCTGTACATTCATATTTGTACAGTTTTAGCTCACCTGGCCCAAAGGGCCAAGTGAGCTTAAGCCATAGTGCAGTGTCTGTCGTCCGTCCAGAAACATGCTGGCATGGGCCCATAACATGCTGAGATGAAAGGCTACTAAGTTTGTTAAAATGAATGAACTTGACCTATATTCAAGGTCAGAGGGGTCAGATATGTTTTAAACCTTTAGACAATTTCTTCTGAACAACCAAAAAGCCAAAAATGTTGATATTTGGCCAGTAACATGCTTGGATGAAGGGCTATCATTTTTGTCAATGTGAATGACCTTGACTCACTTTTTTGGTCTCATTTGGTCAAATGTGTATAAACCTTTAAATTACCTAATCTCATAAAGATTGAGTTTGATAAAGTTTGTTCTACGTAATGACCTTGTTTGACTTTCAAAGTAACAGGAGGTGAATGTGTTTAAATCTTTTAACAGGTTCTTTGAAAATGACCTATTGTCATAAATATTGATATTTTGCCTGTAGCTTTATTTTAGTCCACATTTAAGGTTACAAGTGTGAAATTAATATTATGTGAGTGATACTTGCCCATTGGGCCTCTTGTGTTTTTCTCAGCCTGATAATCTATTTCAGCATATTATTCTTATGACAGTTAATGATCCCCCGCCCAAATGAGTTGGCTTGGTACATACAAACCAGTTGCATTATTTTGTCTGCATCCTGTAGAGTTTCTGGGCTATAACTCAAATCCATTCAAGATTACTTCATGAAACTTTGTACTTTTGTTATTGAAGAATTCTCATTTTTGATTTTTTCCTGTTGCTATGGAAACAAAAAGCCAGAAATGAAAAAAAAAATCTTTCTGGAGGAAATTACAATAACCGTTAGGTAAGATAATTTCACAAAAAATTATAATTACAACAGACCAGTTGTTTAGTAGTGCCTTTTACTATAGGGATGTTTCCATATTTAGCCCACCATCATCAGTTGGTGGGCTATTCAAATTGCCCGGCGTCCGTCGTCCGTCATTCCGTCCGTCCTTAAACAATTCTTGTTAGCTCTATTTATTAGAAAGTCCTGGAGGGATATTTTTCAAATTTCACATGAAGGTTCCCCACGGTCCGTATTTATGCATATCATTTTTTGGGACTGATCACAAAACCAAGATGGCCGACAGCCAGCAATCTTTAATTTGCAAGTTAAAGTTTGTTATCGCTACTTATCAGAAAGTCCTGGAGGGATCTTTCTCCAATTTCACGTGAAGGTTTCCTATGGTCCATAGTTATGCATAGCGAATTTTGGGACTGATTGGAAAATCAAGATGGCCGATAGGCACCAACTTGAATTTTCAGAGTTAAAGTTTGATAGTGCTATTTCTCAGAAATTACTGGAAGAATCTTTTTCAAATTTGATATTCAGGTTCCCCGTGGTCTGTAGTTGTGCATGTTTACCTTTGAGACGGATTGGATTAACAAAATGGCCGACAGACGGCCATCTAGGATTTTGAAAGATTAAGTTAATTCTCAGAAACGACTTGAGGGATCTTTCTCAAATTTGATATATAGGTTCTACTTGGTCCTTCGTTGTGCATGTTTTATTTTGAGAGTGATCATAAAAACATGATGGTTGCAAGAAGAACTTAACAGATCTTTCTCATATTGCACCCAGATTGGTGCTATTTCCGTAACATTAAGTACTGTACTAGTAAATATGTGTAAAGACAAACTCACTTTGAAGGTTGTCTTTTATACACAGCAGTATGAGTTACCTCAAAGTGCATTTACTGTTTCCATGTCTCAATCAAACAAGATAAGAACAGAAAAGAAGAGAAAAGATCGAACTGACATAGAACTAATGAAGATGGTACAATGGTGGGCGCCAAGATCCCTCTGGGATCTCTTGTTTTGAATTTATTTTTGTTGCCATGGAAACAAATGGCCAAAAAAGTAAATTATAGGTATAGTTATAACTGCATCTCAAAAACCTTTCAAGTAATTAACTCCATTAACCTTTATACAAATCTAGCAATATTAGCTATCCGTGAGATTTCTTTTTAAATATTTACCTTTAAAAAATTAATAAAAAATATAAAAAATTGTTGTTTCTGGTGCATATGTCCAGAACCATTGAGGATAACTTCATCTAGCTGCTAGACCTTGATGTTTCTCCTGTTAGTCCTACCATGGTTTCACAATACAGGGTCAACCATGGATCAAGTGGCTAACAGTGTTTACAACAACTATATATAGTCAAACCACCCTATAAACCTTTATCAAACAATGGGTGACTGTGCTTTGAACATTGACCACAGTTAACGCTGGTCATGCAGTCACTTGCCTGTGAGATTTCTAGTGTGTTTTTGTCACACTCCCTCTATCATTATCTGCCCCCCCCCCCCCCCCCCCCCCCCCTTTTTGAAATTTGGATTGTCTTTCATATTTCCATCGGCCGGCGATCTGAAGTCTGTGCCCTTATTATTTTGTATAACTCAGTAAATATTGATTTTCTTTTATGCAGGCATTATAGAAACGTTTGGGATGTCTACGGTAATTATCTACACTGCCTTGATGTTGAAGAAAAGAATCGCAGTGTACTACCCTCCTGACCAAATACACCAACTTTTGATGTTTGTCAGGTAACAATGGCCTCCCACGATTCAACTGTATAGCGACAGATATCAAATATAACGGCTTTAAAAGCAACAGGGTAATTGTAATCTTTGTCAGGAAATATTTTAAATAAGAAGGCGAAGTGAAATGTCAACTCTGTGAGGTCAAACTAGATATTCCAGTGGGATGTTCAATATGCTTGATCATCTGAAGTCTTCAAAATCCTAAAAAACTCTCAAAATCCTCAAAAATCCTCAAAATCCTCAAAATCCTAAAAAATCCTAAAAAAAAGTATGCAAACATTCACGGATAATTTTGTCTTACATTTGTGTAGATGTGAATATTTATTGAATGTTAGTGAAGGTATTGATTGAACTTACTGTCTGTTATTATTGCACTTCAAACAGTTATTAAGTATTCGATTTTATTATTTTCGTGTTGATAGGTTCCTGTCCAAGATTGCGAGTTTTGAGAGAACCAATTATTTTTTTGCGAGTATTCATTTTTGTAGATATTTGCATCAAATACTGATGGCCATTGGAAGTCCCATGAATAAATGCAAAAAATGAAGTTGTGAAATTTGAAGTAAACTGAAAACGTCAGTAGTTTACAGGAAAAAGTACAGCAAAATTTAATGCAGGTTTGGAAAGTCATTGGTTAGAAAGCAGCCTCTGACCGCTAGGTCTCTCACCATTACATGTACCTCTATTTGATCAGACTGTAGTTAATGTTATAAATGAAAACTGCCTAGCACATACAAACATATAAGGATCAGTTAGATGTACTGATGCTGTACCATCTCATAAATGTATGTTATGAATGATAACAAATCTCTTTATCCTATACACTTCCTGTATAACTTATTATAGATCACTTCCCGCGCTGGTTTGGCATCGGCAAAACTGGAATATTGCTTTTCCGTTCCTAGAACTGAATCAACAGGAACTGGATATGCTAAAGGGAGCTAACTGCTATGTAGCCGGATTTACTGACGCATCATTAGAAGGAAGGTTGGTATTACCGTATCGTTATTCTCAGCTAACCTGGTGGAAAGGACTGAGCTTACAGCATACTGTGGGGTTGGTGGTCAGCCCATTTGCTGTCTAATTGGGGGAATAATCCTTTCACTCACGACCAATTGGTAGAGCATAGAACTTGTATTTTATAGTTTGGGATTTGACCAAGTGTAGGCACTTGGAAGCATGGTCTCGGCTAAACATGTGCATGTATCTACTCTTTGCTTAGTTATTTCCCCAGCAATTGGGGTTTGGGGTGTTTACTGGATCGGGTTGTCTGTTCATCTACATTTTTAGCTCACCTACCGGAAGGGCAAGTGAGCTTATGCCATGGCGCAGTGTTCGTCGTTCGTCTGTCAATTTTTCCTTTAAAACACTACATTAAACCTGTGGGTGTGGCCCCCCTGGGAGCAGAGAAGCCGGGTCCAAAAGGGGAAATGGAGGTAAAACCTTTAAAATCCTTCTTCTACAAAAGAGATTAAGGGATTTTATCCTTATTAAGTCTGGAGTATCCTAAGGCCAATGGGACTCAATTTTGTGTAAACGGTGGGAATGGCCCCCAGGATAAAGGGGCAGGGCCCAGTAGGTAAAACCTTTTTCTACCATAGGGATTACGAGATTTTATCCCAATTTTGTCTCCATAATGTTGTCTAGTAGTGCCTGTTACTATTAGGGTGTATACATTAAAACAAGATGGCCACCAGGCCGCTATCTTGGACTTTGACATTGAAGTTTGTTCTCCCTATATCTCCAGAAATACTGGATGGATCTTTCTGAAATTTCATATGTACATACAGTACCTACCAAAGAGTGCTATATCTTTACCTCATATCAAGTACTTTAAACATATCCAAGTTAGCGATACAGTCCCTCTGGGCATCTTGTTGTCAAGACAACTCTTCCCTACAGTTTTTAGCAGAATTTCATGAAACTTCACTCAATCTGAAGTTGTACACCCACCATTAATATTTTTATCCAGCCATCAATCAGTAAGAGCTACCTCCCTAGTTAAGGCCTTTTGTTCTGGAAAAAACTATTCATAATTAAAATTCTGCCATTCTGGTGACAGATCTAGTTAGTACAGGTGGGGATATAAGTATGCCATTCTGATGACAGATCTAGTTAGTACAAGTGGGAATATAAGTCTGCCATTCTGGTGACAGTTTTAGCTATTACAGGTTGGGATATAAGTATGCCATTCTGGTGACAATTCTAGTTAGTACAGGTGGGGATATAAATATGCCATTCTGGTGACAGTTCTAGTTAGTACAGGCGGGGGTATAAGTATGCCATTCTGGTGACAGGTCTAGTTAGTTCAGGTGGGGATATAAGGCTGCCATTCTGGTGACAGTTCTAGTTAGTACAGGTGGGGATATAAGTATGCCATTCTGATGACAGATCTAGTTAGTACAAGTGGGAATATAAGTGTGCCATTCTGGTGACAGTTCTAGTTAGTACAGGTGGGGATATAAGTGTGCCATTCTGGTGACAGTTCTAGTTAGTGCAGGTGGGGATATAAGTATGCCATTCTGGTGACAGTTCAGTTAGTACAGGTGGGGATATAAGTCTGCCATTCTGGTGACAGTTTTAGCTATTACAGGTTGGGATATAAGTATGCCATTCTGGTGACAGATCTAGTTAGTACAGGTGGGGATATAAGGGTGCCATTCTGGTGACAGTTCTAGTTAGTACAGGTGGGAATATAAGTATGCCATTCTGGTGACAGTTCTAGTTAGTAGAGGTGGGGATATAAGTATGCCATTCTGGTGACAGTTCTAGTTAGTACATGTGGGGATATAAGTCTGCCATTCTGGTGACAGTTTTAGCTATTACAGGTTGGGATATAAGTATGCCATTCTGTTGACAGATCTAGTTAGTACAGGTGGGGATATAAGTATGCCATTCTGTTGACAGTTCTAGTTAGTAGAGGTGGGGATATAAGTATGCCATTCTGGTGACAGTTCAGTTAGTACAGGTGGGGATATAAGTCTGCCATTCTGGTGAAAGTTCTAGTTAGTACAGGTAGGGATATATAAGTCTGCCATTCTGGTGACAGCTCTAGTTAGTACAGGTGGGGATATAAGTATGCCATTCTGTTGACAGTTCTAGTTAGTAGAGGTGGGGATATAAGTATGCCATTCTGGTGACAGCTCTAGTTAGTACAGGTGGGGATATAAGTATGCCATTCTGGCGACAGTTCTAGTTAGTTCAGGTGGGGATATAAGTCTGCCATTCTGGTGACAGTTCTAGTTAGTACAGGTAGGGATCTATAAGTCTGCCATTCTGGTGACAGATCTAGTTAGAACAGGTGGTGATATCAGTGTGCCATTCTGGTGACAGTTCTAGTTAGTACAGGTGGGAATATAAGTATGCCATTCTGGTGACAGTTCTAGTTAGTAGAGGTGGGGATATAAGTATGCCATTCTGGTGACAGCTCTAGTTAGTACAGGTGGGGATATAAGTATGCCATTCTGTTGACAGTTCTAGTTAGTAGAGGTGGGGATATAAGTATGCCATTCTGGTGACAGCTCTAGTTAGTACAGGTGGGGATATAAGTATGCCATTCTGGCGACAGTTCTAGTTAGTTCAGGTGGGGATATAAGTATGACATTCTGGTGACAGTTCTAGTTAGTACAGGTGGGAATATAAGTATGCCATTCTGGTGACAGTTCTAGTTAGTACAGGTAGGGATATATAAGTCTGCCATTCTGGTGACAGATCTAGTTAGTACAGGTAGGGATATAAGTGTGCCATTCTGGTGACAGTTCTAGTTAGTACAGGTGGGGATATAAGTATGCCATTCTGGTGACAGTTCTAGTTAGTACAGGTGGGGATATAAGTATGCCATTCTGGTGACAGTTCTAGTTAGTACAGGTGGGGATATAAGTATGCCATTCTGGTGACAGTTCTAGTTAGTACAGGTGGGGATATAAGTATGCCATTCTGGTGACAGTTCTAGTTAGTACAGGTGGGGATATAAGTATGCCATTCTGGTGACAGTTCTAGTTAGTACAGGTGGGGATATAAGTATGCCATTCTGGTGACAGTTCTAGTTAGTACAGGTGGGGATATAAGTATGCCATTCTGGTGACAGTTCTAGTTAGTACAGGTGGGGATATAAGTATGCCATTCTGGTGACAGTTCTAGTTAGTACAGGTGGGGATATAAGTATGCCATTCTGGTGACAGTTCTAGTTAGTACAGGTGGGGATATAAGTATGCCATTCTGGTGACAGTTCTAGTTAGTACAGGTGGGGATATAAGTATGCCATTCTGGTGACAGTTCTAGTTAGTACAGGTGGGGATATAAGTATGCCATTCTGGTGACAGTTCTAGTTAGTACAGGTGGGGATATAAGTATGCCATTCTGGTGACAGTTCTAGTTAGTACAGGTGGGGATATAAGTATGCCATTCTGGTGACAGTTCTAGTTAGTACAGGTGGGGATATAAGTATGCCATTCTGGTGACAGTTCTAGTTAGTACAGGTGGGGATATAAGTATGCCATTCTGGTGACAGTTCTAGTTAGTACAGGTGGGGATATAAGTATGCCATTCTGGTGACAGTTCTAGTTAGTACAGGTGGGGATATAAGTATGCCATTCTGGTGACAGTTCTAGTTAGTACAGGTGGGGATATAAGTATGCCATTCTGGTGACAGTTCTAGTTAGTACAGGTGGGGATATAAGTATGCCATTCTGGTGACAGTTCTAGTTAGTACAGGTGGGGATATAAGTATGCCATTCTGGTGACAGTTCTAGTTAGTACAGGTGGGGATATAAGTATGCCATTCTGGTGACAGTTCTAGTTAGTACAGGTGGGGATATAAGTATGCCATTCTGGTGACAGTTCTAGTTAGTACAGGTGGGGATATAAGTATGCCATTCTGGTGACAGTTCTAGTTAGTACAGGTGGGGATATAAGTATGCCATTCTGGTGACAGTTCTAGTTAGTACAGGTGGGGATATAAGTATGCCATTCTGGTGACAGTTCTAGTTAGTACAGGTGGGGATATAAGTATGCCATTCTGGTGACAGTTCTAGTTAGTACAGGTGGGGATATAAGTATGCCATTCTGGTGACAGTTCTAGTTAGTACAGGTGGGGATATAAGTATGCCATTCTGGTGACAGTTCTAGTTAGTACAGGTGGGGATATAAGTATGCCATTCTGGTGACAGTTCTAGTTAGTACAGGTGGGGATATAAGTATGCCATTCTGGTGACAGTTCTAGTTAGTACAGGTGGGGATATAAGTATGCCATTCTGGTGACAGTTCTAGTTAGTACAGGTGGGGATATAAGTATGCCATTCTGGTGACAGTTCTAGTTAGTACAGGTGGGGATATAAGTATGCCATTCTGGTGACAGTTCTAGTTAGTACAGGTGGGGATATAAGTATGCCATTCTGGTGACAGTTCTAGTTAGTACAGGTGGGGATATAAGTATGCCATTCTGGTGACAGTTCTAGTTAGTACAGGTGGGGATATAAGTATGCCATTCTGGTGACAGTTCTAGTTAGTACAGGTGGGGATATAAGTATGCCATTCTGGTGACAGTTCTAGTTAGTACAGGTGGGGATATAAGTATGCCATTCTGGTGACAGTTCTAGTTAGTACAGGTGGGGATATAAGTATGCCATTCTGGTGACAGTTCTAGTTAGTACAGGTGGGGATATAAGTATGCCATTCTGGTGACAGTTCTAGTTAGTACAGGTGGGGATATAAGTATGCCATTCTGGTGACAGTTCTAGTTAGTACAGGTGGGGATATAAGTATGCCATTCTGGTGACAGTTCTAGTTAGTACAGGTGGGGATATAAGTATGCCATTCTGGTGACAGTTCTAGTTAGTACAGGTGGGGATATAAGTATGCCATTCTGGTGACAGTTCTAGTTAGTACAGGTGGGGATATAAGTATGCCATTCTGGTGACAGTTCTAGTTAGTACAGGTGGGGATATAAGTATGCCATTCTGGTGACAGTTCTAGTTAGTACAGGTGGGGATATAAGTATGCCATTCTGGTGACAGTTCTAGTTAGTACAGGTGGGGATATAAGTATGCCATTCTGGTGACAGTTCTAGTTAGTACAGGTGGGGATATAAGTATGCCATTCTGGTGACAGTTCTAGTTAGTACAGGTGGGGATATAAGTATGCCATTCTGGTGACAGTTCTAGTTAGTACAGGTGGGGATATAAGTATGCCATTCTGGTGACAGTTCTAGTTAGTACAGGTGGGGATATAAGTATGCCATTCTGGTGACAGTTCTAGTTAGTACAGGTGGGGATATAAGTATGCCATTCTGGTGACAGTTCTAGTTAGTACAGGTGGGGATATAAGTATGCCATTCTGGTGACAGTTCTAGTTAGTACAGGTGGGGATATAAGTATGCCATTCTGGTGACAGTTCTAGTTAGTACAGGTGGGGATATAAGTATGCCATTCTGGTGACAGTTCTAGTTAGTACAGGTGGGGATATAAGTATGCCATTCTGGTGACAGTTCTAGTTAGTACAGGTGGGGATATAAGTATGCCATTCTGGTGACAGTTCTAGTTAGTACAGGTGGGGATATAAGTATGCCATTCTGGTGACAGTTCTAGTTAGTACAGGTGGGGATATAAGTATGCCATTCTGGTGACAGTTCTAGTTAGTACAGGTGGGGATATAAGTATGCCATTCTGGTGACAGTTCTAGTTAGTACAGGTGGGGATATAAGTATGCCATTCTGGTGACAGTTCTAGTTAGTACAGGTGGGGATATAAGTATGCCATTCTGGTGACAGTTCTAGTTAGTACAGGTGGGGATATAAGTATGCCATTCTGGTGACAGTTCTAGTTAGTACAGGTGGGGATATAAGTATGCCATTCTGGTGACAGTTCTAGTTAGTACAGGTGGGGATATAAGTATGCCATTCTGGTGACAGTTCTAGTTAGTACAGGTGGGGATATAAGTATGCCATTCTGGTGACAGTTCTAGTTAGTACAGGTGGGGATATAAGTATGCCATTCTGGTGACAGTTCTAGTTAGTACAGGCAGGGATATAAGTGTGCCCTCTGGTTACAGTTCTAGTTAGTTCAGGCAGGGATATAAGTATGCCATTCTGTTGACAGTTCTAATTAGTACAGGCAGGGATATAAGTGTGCCATTCTGGTGACAGTTCTAGTTAGTACAGGTGGGGATATAAGTCTGCCATTCTGGTGACAGCTCTAGTTAGTACAGGTGGGGATATAAGTCTGCCATTCTGGTGACAGTTCTAGTTAGTACAGGAGGGGATATAAGTGTGCCATTCTGGTGACAGATCTAGTTAGTACAGGTGGGGATATAAGTCTGCCAATCTGGTGACAGTTCTAGTTAGTACAGGTGGGGATATAAGTCACAGTTCTAGTTAGTACAGGTGGGGATATAAGTCTGCCATTCTGGTGACAGTTCTAGTTAGTATAGGTGGGGATATAAGTGTGCCATTCTGGTGACAGTTCTAGTTAGTACAGGTGGGGATATAAGTATGCCATTCTGGTGACAGATCTAGTTAGTACAGGTGGGGATATAAGTATGCCATTCTGGTGACAGATCTAGTTAGTACAGGTGGGGATATAAGTATGCCATTCTGGTGACAGATCTAGTTAGTACAGGTGGGGATATAAGTATGCCATTCTGGTGACAGATCTAGTTAGTACAGGTGGGGATATAAGTATGCCATTCTGGTGACAGATCTAGTTAGTACAGGTGGGGATATAAGTATGCCATTCTGGTGACAGATCTAGTTAGTACAGGTGGGGATATAAGTATGCCATTCTGGTGACAGATCTAGTTAGTACAGGTGGGGATATAAGTATGCCATTCTGGTGACAGATCTAGTTAGTACAGGTGGGGATATAAGTATGCCATTCTGGTGACAGATCTAGTTAGTACAGGTGGGGATATAAGTATGCCATTCTGGTGACAGATCTAGTTAGTACAGGTGGGGATATAAGTATGCCATTCTGGTGACAGATCTAGTTAGTACAGGTGGGGATATAAGTATGCAATTCTGGTGAAAGTTTTATTAAAAAACATCCAGCATTTAGAGTATATCCGATGTAAAGATTAAGAAAAATGCCAGCCTGTGAGAAAGAACAAAAATGTTATTGCGAAAAATCATGACAATATAATGTCAGTGATGAAATATATTCTAATAATGGATTATTAAAGTTATGATTTTTTTAGGAAATACTAATCATGAAAAATGTAGAAATTACTTGTCAACTTCTACAAATCTTAAAGTCTCTAAATTCTTTGATTTGACTTCAACTGAAGGCTCTGGTAGACTCCTATAAATCTGTTAGTCACCATCGCTTTCATAAATAAGAAGAAAATTGTGTTTTGAAAATATTCTTTTGCTAATTTTTAGTTACCGAAAAAGTCTCAGTTGATCTATTGCGATTTTCTTTTGTCCTGTGTTGAGCATCCAGATTCAATTCACATTTGTATGAAGGTTCAATGGTCAAGCAAACCTAGATTGTGAATTAAATATATATATACCTCTGAAAGTCCTGAAGGGCGGGTCCAATTTAAGTGTAAAATTGGCAATTTTTTCAATATTCTTCTTCCTCAGACCCAGATACACTGTAATCAAATACTCTTCATGGATGGAAGGGTCTTAAGGTGCTTTATCAAATTTGTGAATTGCATTACCCCCTTGTCATCCATTGGAAGGGGGTATAGTTTACTATAGAGTTCTAAATAAAACTTTTTGGGTATGATTTGCTTAATTTCAGTGGCAAATAATTCAAACTTGGTTGAAATTATCATCCTGTGATTTTAGTTTGATATTATGAATATGAAGACCCAGATTCCCTTCTTGGGACCTAACAAAAAGGGGCAAACTGGCTAAAATTTCAAGAATCTTCTTCTCCAGACCCATATTTGCTAGAATCAAATACTGTTTATTGATAGAAAGGTCTAAAGGTGCTTTTTCAAAATTGTGAATTTTCATTACCTCTTGGTCACCCATTTCTTCCTGGAGAGGGTTAAATTATACAACAGTAAAACCTTGCTTACTCGAACTAATGGGGTCCAGATCAATAGGGATCAACTGGGTGGTTGGGTGTTGTAGTGAATAGCCACTTGCTTTTCACCAAGGCGGCCGGGGTTCGATTCCCCGATCGAACAAGAAAAGGTATGGGGTCACCTGCCAACCACGTGGGTTTTCTCCGGGTACTCCAGTTTCCTCCCACATTTAGACCCTTTGCATGCTAACATCCGGGCCAACAAGAATGATTAATATAAGTTGAAATAACCTGTATCATAATTGTTGTAAATAAATCAAGTTTATATTATATATTTTATATCAATAGTTCAAAGAATACACAGTATTCAACAAATTGAAGGTTTGTTTGACATTGTCATGTTTTGATCAGGTGGGACGGCAGACAGCATGAGCACTGCAAATAGCAGAGTGTAGAAGATAGAAGTAAAAAAGGGGTTTACCAAAGATGACAACATTAAATAAGATTTAAAATTTCTCAACAATGAAAACATATAGTCTTTGGTAGTAAGAAAGGAAGTGAAGAAGGTGTATAATTATTATGTAAAGTACTTGTCGTTTAGACATAGTCGCCTTACTGTATAAGGCTACGTTAATTTTACAGAATAACAAAACTAGGGAACTCATCATTCATTTTAAAGAATATGTTGAATCCCCATTATTTTAATATTGATGTTAACTAATTACAACATACTCAAGTTTAAATATCTTTAAATATGGTTGAAATTCTGCTATGTGACCACAATCTTTGCCTCGAGGAATGTTGATGGCACACGGTAAGTGTGATACACAGGTGTGACTACCTGTTTGACAAATGGGTATTCAAGCAGTGGCAGTTCGAGTAATCTGAGGTTAATTTACAAATAATATTTAAGAACACAGCCAGGACCTAGCCAGCTATTCGAGGAACAGGTTTATTCAAGTAATTAATGCGAGTTCCAGTAAGTGGGGTTTCACTGTATATAATTTTATTATTTCAGTTTTTCTGAAAATTGCCAGCTTTATATATGATGTATGTTAGTTACTCCCCCACATTGTTTGTCAAGGAAACCACTATCGAAAAGCTTCATTCAGATTACATGTATCTGTTTAATCTGCATTATACCTCAGGTGACCGTTAAGGCCCATGGGCCTCTTGTTAAAACAACACCTTGTATCAGAGTGGGAATAACTTGTGACATTATGGAATTTGTTTCAAGGTTCTGTATTTTTTTCTCTTCTTTCTATTTAAGGAATGACTTGTACGATGTTTACGTGAGTCCAATCTCGGGACAGGTCTCCATAGCAACACAAGCCAAAGGTTTGTAAACTGACATATTTCATGTCTCCATAGCAACACAAGCCAAACATTTGTAAACCGACATATTTCAGGTCTTCATAGAAACACAAGCCAATTAAGATTTGTAAACTGACATATTTCAGGTCTCCCTAGTAACACAAGTCAAATGTTTGTAAGCTGACATATTTCAGGTCTCCATAGCAACACAAGCCGAATGTTTGTAAACTTACATATTTCAGGTGTCCATAGCAACACAAACCAAAGACTTGTAAACTGACCTATTTCAGGTGTCCATAGCAACACAAACCAAAGACTTATAAACTGACCTATTTCAGGTGTCCATAGCAACACATACCAAAGATTTGTAAACTGACATATTTCAGGTGTCCATAGCAACACAAACTAAAGACTTGTAAACTGACATATTTCAGGTGTCCATAGCAACACAAACCAAAGACTTGTAAACTGACATATTTCAGGTGTTCATAGCAACACAAGCCGAAGACTTGTAAACTGACATATTTCAGGTGTCCATAGCAACACAAACCAAAGACTTGTAAACTGACATATTTCAGGGGTCCATAGCAACACAAGCCGAAGACTTGTAAACTGACATATTTCAGCAGCTGTTATGGCCCTATATTGAAGAATTACACACAGAGCATGTGAAAAATTCGAACACAGGAAGGACACTTATGAAGATCAGAAACAAAAACTGTTTTAGGGACTAGAAAAAGTCTTGTTTATTATGAAAAATCCTCAGATATAATATTCTGCATGGAGGAAAAGTAGTAAATTCTGCCCTCTAAATTTATAATTCTTGTGTGCCAAGTAGTTAAACTGGTACCAGCAATTATAACGTGAACACAGAAAATATGTATAACAAAGATGCTGAAGTGTAATTTACAAGTGAAGTAAGTTAGTTACAGTTACATAATACATGTAACAGCTATACCCGTTTCTGTGTTCCATCAGGAAGCTGTTTATCCGCTCCAACCTATTTTAAGCTGTCCTGATTCCTCTCTAGGATCACCTGTGTTCCATCAGGAAACTGTTAACCCGCTCCGACCTATTTTTAGCTGTCCTGATTCCTCACTAGGATCACCTGTATTCCATCAGGAAGCTGTTTACCCGCTCCGACCTATTTTTAGCTGTCCTGATTCCTCTCTAGGATCACCTGTGTTCCATCAGGAAGCTGTTTACCCGCTCCGACCTATTTTTAGCTGTCCTGATTCCTCTCTAGGATCTCCTGTGTTCCATCAGTAAGCTGTTTACCTGCTCCGACCTATTTTTAGCTGTCCTGATTCCTCACTAGGATCACCTGTATTCCATCAGGAAGCTGTTTACCCGCTCCGACCTATTTTTAGCTGCCCTGATTCCTCTCTAGAATAACCTGTGTTCCATCAGGAAACTGTTAACCCGCTCCGACCTATTTTTAGCTGTCCTGATTCCTCCCTAGGATCACCTGTGTCCATCAGGAAGCTGTTTACCCGCTCCGACCTATTTTTAGCTGTCCTTATTCCTTTCTACGATCACCTGTGTTTCATCAGGAAGCTGTTTACCCGCTCTAACCTATTTTTAGCTGTCCTGATTCCTCTCTAGGATCACTGCCAATTGATCTGTGCTCCTTATCCATGTCACCCTTCTGTCGAACAATTCCTGAATTAATTTCAGCATATCCGGAGAATCAGCCGTTTCCTCTGTATCTATTAAATAGCTGTTTGTCAACATGACTTCCACCTGACAAAGATATTTAGCTTTCTGTTTAGCTAACTCGATCATGCTATGTGTCTGTTCCGTGAATCTTCATTTTCTTCAAAAAAATATTCAGAACTTTTGACTGGTTTGTAGTTCAGCCAATGTGTCTCTTTACATGACTGGGTTTTTACTGTGGTAGTAAATGTTGCTCCTGTATACTTTACTCGTTAGTGTATTCATGAAAAGGACACATTGTAGCAAACATGTCAAAATCGATGACATCTGAATGTTTACGGATCACAATCGAGTCTGTTCTGGTTGACAATCTCGTATCCATATATTTATTCCATTGTTATGATATATGAAATTAAAACTTGCAGGATACATTTGGGAAAATGCATACACGATAAGATATGACCAACAATAAAATCTTATATGAAGCCAATTTTCAATCTGTCGGCCTAATAACTTTCTCTTGGTTGACACAACACAATGTTATTACGTAAACAGATATCCAGAGAGCTGTATAATACATTGTATATGTAAGCAGTTTGTTGATGTGCGTTTCAATATCAGTATCATTCACATGTTTATTCGTCCCCTTTTTACTTTCCCCTGCATCTGGTAACGACTCACTGAAGAACACTATTAAGAAGGAGTTCTACCTGATATGTAGCCCTTGGCCGTTGGCATTGATTCATGTGTATAAACACAGGAGAGTTCCGCTGATTCTGGTTACATGATCATCAATGTCATCAAAGTGGACCTTTGTAGCCAATGTGAAAACTTCAACAATATTATTTTATCCTTTAAAATACAGAGAATAACTAATGATACCAGAGTCAGTGGAATAACTAATGATACCAGAGTCAGTGGAATAAGTAATGATACCAGAGTTAGTGGTACAGCTAATGATACCAGAGTCAGTGGAACAACTAATTATACCAGAGTCAGTGGAATAGCTAATGATACCAGAGTTAGTGGAATAACTAATTATACCAGAGTCAGTGGAATAACTAATGATACCAGAGTCAGTGGAATAGCTAATGATACCAGAGTTAGTGGAATAGCTAATGATACCAGAGTTAGTGGAATAACTAATTATACCAGAGTCAGTGGAATAACTAATGATACCAGAGCCAGTGGAATAACTAATGATACCAGAGTCAGTGGTATAGCTAATGATACCAGAGTCAGTGGAATAACTAATGATACCAGAGTCAGTGGTATAGCTAATGATACCAGAGTCAGTGGAATAACTAATGATACCAGAGTCAGTGGAATAACTAATGATACCAGAGTCAGTGGAATAACTAATGATACCAGAGTCAGTGGAATAACTAATGATACCAGAGTCAGTGGAATAACTAATGATACCAGAGTCAGTGGAATAACTAATGATACCAGAGTCAGTGGAATAACTAATGATACCAGAGTCAGTGGAATAACTAATGATACCAGAGTCAGTGGAATAACTAATGATACCAGAGTCAGTGGAATAACTAATGATACCAGAGTCAGTGGAATAACTAATGATACCAGAGTCAGTGGAATAACTAATGATACCAGAGTCAGTGGAATAACTAATGATACCAGAGTCAGTGGAATAACTAATGATACCAGAGTCAGTGGAATAACTAATGATACCAGAGTCAGTGGAATAACTAATGATACCAGAGTCAGTGGAATAACTAATGATACCAGAGTCAGTGGAATAACTAATGATACCAGAGTCAGTGGAATAACTAATGATACCAGAGTCAGTGGAATAACTAATGATACCAGAGTCAGTGGAATAACTAATGATACCAGAGTCAGTGGAATAACTAATGATACCAGAGTCAGTGGAATAACTAATGATACCAGAGTCAGTGGAATAACTAATGATACCAGAGTCAGTGGAATAACTAATGATACCAGAGTCAGTGGAATAACTAATGATACCAGAGTCAGTGGAATAACTAATGATACCAGAGTCAGTGGAATAACTAATGATACCAGAGTCAGTGGAATAACTAATGATACCAGAGTCAGTGGAATAACTAATGATACCAGAGTCAGTGGAATAACTAATGATACCAGAGTCAGTGGAATAACTAATGATACCAGAGTCAGTGGAATAACTAATGATACCAGAGTCAGTGGAATAACTAATGATACCAGAGTCAGTGGAATAACTAATGATACCAGAGTCAGTGGAATAACTAATGATACCAGAGTCAGTGGAATAACTAATGATACCAGAGTCAGTGGAATAACTAATGATACCAGAGTCAGTGGAATAACTAATGATACCAGAGTCAGTGGAATAACTAATGATACCAGAGTCAGTGGAATAACTAATGATACCAGAGTCAGTGGAATAACTAATGATACCAGAGTCAGTGGAATAACTAATGATACCAGAGTCAGTGGAATAACTAATGATACCAGAGTCAGTGGAATAACTAATGATACCAGAGTCAGTGGAATAACTAATGATACCAGAGTCAGTGGAATAACTAATGATACCAGAGTCAGTGGAATAACTAATGATACCAGAGTCAGTGGAATAACTAATGATACCAGAGTCAGTGGAATAACTAATGATACCAGAGTCAGTGGAATAACTAATGATACCAGAGTCAGTGGAATAACTAATGATACCAGAGTCAGTGGAATAACTAATGATACCAGAGTCAGTGGAATAACTAATGATACCAGAGTCAGTGGAATAACTAATGATACCAGAGTCAGTGGAATAACTAATGATACCAGAGTCAGTGGAATAACTAATGATACCAGAGTCAGTGGAATAACTAATGATACCAGAGTCAGTGGAATAACTAATGATACCAGAGTCAGTGGAATAACTAATGATACCAGAGTCAGTGGAATAACTAATGATACCAGAGTCAGTGGAATAACTAATGATACCAGAGTCAGTGGAATAACTAATGATACCAGAGTCAGTGGAATAACTAATGATACCAGAGTCAGTGGAATAACTAATGATACCAGAGTCAGTGGAATAACTAATGATACCAGAGTCAGTGGAATAACTAATGATACCAGAGTCAGTGGAATAACTAATGATACCAGAGTCAGTGGAATAACTAATGATACCAGAGTCAGTGGAATAACTAATGATACCAGAGTCAGTGGAATAACTAATGATACCAGAGTCAGTGGAATAACTAATGATACCAGAGTCAGTGGAATAACTAATGATACCAGAGTCAGTGGAATAACTAATGATACCAGAGTCAGTGGAATAACTAATGATACCAGAGTCAGTGGAATAACTAATGATACCAGAGTCAGTGGAATAACTAATGATACCAGAGTCAGTGGAATAACTAATGATACCAGAGTCAGTGGAATAACTAATGATACCAGAGTCAGTGGAATAACTAATGATACCAGAGTCAGTGGAATAACTAATGATACCAGAGTCAGTGGAATAACTAATGATACCAGAGTCAGTGGAATAACTAATGATACCAGAGTCAGTGGAATAACTAATGATACCAGAGTCAGTGGAATAACTAATGATACCAGAGTCAGTGGAATAACTAATGATACCAGAGTCAGTGGAATAACTAATGATACCAGAGTCAGTGGAATAACTAATGATACCAGAGTCAGTGGAATAACTAATGATACCAGAGTCAGTGGAATAACTAATGATACCAGAGTCAGTGGAATAACTAATGATACCAGAGTCAGTGGAATAACTAATGATACCAGAGTCAGTGGAATAACTAATGATACCAGAGTCAGTGGAATAACTAATGATACCAGAGTCAGTGGAATAACTAATGATACCAGAGTCAGTGGAATAACTAATGATACCAGAGTCAGTGGAATAACTAATGATACCAGAGTCAGTGGAATAACTAATGATACCAGAGTCAGTGGAATAACTAATGATACCAGAGTCAGTGGAATAACTAATGATACCAGAGTCAGTGGAATAACTAATGATACCAGAGTCAGTGGAATAACTAATGATACCAGAGTCAGTGGAATAACTAATGATACCAGAGTCAGTGGAATAACTAATGATACCAGAGTCAGTGGAATAACTAATGATACCAGAGTCAGTGGAATAACTAATGATACCAGAGTCAGTGGAATAACTAATGATACCAGAGTCAGTGGAATAACTAATGATACCAGAGTCAGTGGAATAACTAATGATACCAGAGTCAGTGGAATAACTAATGATACCAGAGTCAGTGGAATAACTAATGATACCAGAGTCAGTGGAATAACTAATGATACCAGAGTCAGTGGAATAACTAATGATACCAGAGTCAGTGGAATAACTAATGATACCAGAGTCAGTGGAATAACTAATGATACCAGAGTCAGTGGAATAACTAATGATACCAGAGTCAGTGGAATAACTAATGATACCAGAGTCAGTGGAATAACTAATGATACCAGAGTCAGTGGAATAACTAATGATACCAGAGTCAGTGGAATAACTAATGATACCAGAGTCAGTGGAATAACTAATGATACCAGAGTCAGTGGAATAACTAATGATACCAGAGTCAGTGGTATAACTAATGATACCAGAGTCAGTGGTATAACTAATGATACCAGAGTCAGTGAAATAACTAATGATACCAGAGTCAGTGGTATAACTAATGATACCGGAGCCAGTGGTACTCCTCTGTGTTCCTATACATGTGTCTGTGACAATGGTCGTAACAACATATTAAACAAAGCTCCTGTATAATTGATTTATTAACCAGATTGCTGGTCTGTAAACATCATTATGTTGCCAATTTTGACATTTGACATTTTGACCCAGATAAAATCCATGTGGTCGGCGGACAGGTGACTCAATAACTTTGAATCGGGGAGTTAAACCCCAATTATCTTTGTAAAAGACAATTTCAATATCCAGTAGTCAGTGGAATAGACCACCCAATGACTGTATTACTAATCTTGCTATCTGGTTCAATATATATCCAGTATCAGTGCCACACGACCATCAAATGACTATTACTAATCTTGCTATCTGGTTCAATATCCAGTATCAGTGCCACACGACCATCAAATGACTGCATTACTAATCTTGCTATCTGGTTTAATATCCAGTATCAGTGCCACACGACCATCCAATGACTGTATTACTAATCTTGCTATCTGGTTCAATATCCGGTATCAGTACCACACGACCATCCAATGGCTGTATTACTAATCTTGCTATCTGGTTCAATATCCAGTATCAGTGCCACACGACCACCCAATGACTGTTTTACTAATCTTGCTATTTGGTTCAATATCCAGTATCCGGGCTACACGACCACCCAATGACTGTATTACTAATCTTGCTATCTGGTCCAATATCCAGTATCAGTACCACACGGCCACCCAATGACTGTATTACGAATCTTGCTATCTCGTTCAATATCCAGTACCAGTACCACACGACCACCCAATGCCTGTATTACTAATCTTGCTATCTCGTTCAATGTCCAGTATCAGTGCCACACGACCACCCCATGACTGTATTACTAATCTTGCTCTCTCGTTCAATATCCAGTATCAGTACCACACGGCCACCCAATGACTGTATTACGAATCTTGCTATCTGGTTCAATATCCAGGATCAGTGCCACACGACCACCCAATGACTGAATTACTAATCTTGCTATCTGGTTTAATATCCAGTATCAGTGCCACACGCCCATCCAATGACTATTACTAATCTTGCTATCTGGTCCAATATCCAGTATCAGTACCACACGGCCACCCAATGACTGTATTACGAATCTTGCTATCTCGTTCAATATCCAGGATCAGTACCACGCGACCAGCCAATGACTGTATTACTATTCTAGCTATCTGGTTCAATATCCAGTAGCAGTGCCACACGACCATCCAATGCCTGTATTACTAATCTTGCTATCTCGTTCAATGTCCAGTATCAGTGCCACACGACCTCCCAATTACTGTATTACTAATCTTGCTATCCGGTATCAGTACCACACGACCATCCAATGACTGTATTGCTAATCTTGCTATCTGGGTCAATATCCAGTATCAGTGCCACCCGGCCCCCCAATGACTGTATTACTAATCTTTCTATCTGGTTCAATATATATCCAGTATCAGTGCCAAACGACCACACAATGACTGTATTACTAATCTTGCTCTCTCGTTCAATATCCAGTATCAGTGCCCCACGACCATCCAATGGCTGTATTACTAATCTTGCTATCTGTTTCAATATCCAGTATCAGTGCCCCACGACCATCCAATGACTATTACCAATCTTGCTATCTGGTTCAATATCCGGTATCAGTACCACACGACCATACAATGGCTGTATTACTAATCTTGCTATCTGTTTCAATATCCAGTATCAGTGCCAAACGACCACCCAGTGACTGTATTACTAATCTTGCTATCTCGTTCAATATCCAGTATACGACCATCAAATGACTGCATTACTAATCTTGCTATCTGGTTCAACATCCAGTATCAGTGCCACACGACCAGCCAATGACTGTATTACTATTCTAGCTATCTGGTTCAATATCCAGTACCAGTGCCACACGACCACCCAATGTCGGGTTTACTAATCTTGCTATTTGGTTCAATATCGAGTATCCGGGCTACACGACCACCCAATGACTGTATTGCTAATCTTGCTATCTCGTTCAATATCCAGTATCAGTACTACACGACCACCCAATGACTGTATTGCTAATCTTGCTATCTGGTTCAATATCCAGTATCAGTGCCAAACGACCACCCAATGACTGTATTACTAATCTTGCTATCTGGTTGTGAGCCCCTTGCTTTACATTCCATTAATTTCCCATCATTTTGCAACCCAGATTGATATTTACTGTAAGTTCATTAATGATATCACAGTTTAATAACAGGTCATCTTTGGTTGGAGCAATATGAGTACTCCAAGTGAGTACTTTGTCCCCCAAGGTTATAAGCCATGTGGTATGTTGTAAGATTCTTACCTACCAAGGTTATAAGCCATGTGGTATGTTGTAAGATTCTTACCTACCAAAACCCTTGTTGCTTCTGGAAGTTGCTTAGACCTCTTCCTGCACATCAGGTGACTTCCACACCTGTGCCCACTCCTGTTTAAATTGCTTTTCAACTCTTACTAAATATATTTGTGAATGTCTAGTTTCACAACCATGCTTTTCTTTTATCAAATTATAATGAAGTAAATTGGAGCTTCAACAGGTTTTGGTACTAACAGATATAATCAAATTGATCACAATTTATCTCTTTTTGTGGTAAATATATTGACAAAATTATGTAAAAATCAAGGATGTAATATCGTTTGTCTTTTTATTACTTTTTCAAATTTCTCTCTGCAGCCATTATTACTAAATGCTAACCAATGTAAGATTTGTGCTGTGAACACTTCCTTCTTGGGTAAAAAAGTCACAATTTTTTCCACACACTTTATCCCTCATTTGAGTTATGGAATGAGGAAGATCTCCCCCCTCATTTGAGGTTTCAGAGGTTGACACCTATGTTCAAAGCAACAGTTTGATGATTTTTTTTGTTAAAACTGATGAATTAACAGATTTGAAACTACTTGTTTGTGACCTTATTGTGATATTCACTTTTGAAACGAGCAGTTGTGTTTGTGTATTACAGAGGCACTAGCAATGGGCAAGCTACACAAGGACACAGCAGCCTTCATGGTTCAATGTGCAGAGAATGATGATTTATCTGAAGAAGACATAGTCACGGTACAGTAGCTTCTATTAAGTGTAGGATCTAACTGAACAACAGCATATCACAGGCCTGAAAAGCACACTTGATCTTTTAAAATATATATAAGCTGAACACAATGAATATAAGCTGAGTAGGATAAATGTCAGCTGAGTACTAATGAATATAACCCAATAGAATAAATAAAAATATGAGTACAATAATATAACCCAATAGAATAAATAAAAAGATGAGTACAATAATATAACCCAATAGAATAAATAAAAAGACGAGTACAATAATATATCAGAATGTTGATTTGATCATCCAATCATCCAATAAATGTTAGGGCATCAATGAGCCTAGGCAATAATCATATTATTGTTCTGCCCACTCAGTATTGGGTAGGTGTATGTATTGTTCTGCCCACTCAGTATTGGGTAGGTGTATGTATTGTTCTGCCCACTCAGTATTGGGTAGGTGTATGTATTGTTCTGCCCACTCAGTATTGGGTAGGTGTATGTATTGTTCTGCCCACTCAGTATTGGGTAGGTGTATGTATTGTTCTGCCCACTCAGTATTGGGTAGGTGTATGTATTGTTCTGCCCACTCAGTATTGGGTAGGTGTATGTATTGTTCTGCCCACTCAGTATTGGGTAGGTGTATGTATTGTTCTGCCCACTCAGTATTGGGTAGGTGTATGTATTGTTCTGCCCACTCAGTATTGGGTAGGTGTATGTATTGTTCTGCCCACTCAGTATTGGGTAGGTGTATGTATTGTTCTGCCCACTCAGTATTGGGTAGGTGTATGTATTGTTCTGCCCACTCAGTATTGGGTAGGTGTATGTATTGTTCTGCCCACTCAGTATTGGGTAGGTGTATGTATTGTTCTGCCCACTCAGTATTGGGTAGGTGTATGTATTGTTCTGCCCACTCAGTATTGGGTAGGTGTATGTATTGTTCTGCCCACTCAGTATTGGGTAGGTGTATGTATTGTTCTGCCCACTCAGTATTGGGTAGGTGTATGTATTGTTCTGCCCACTCAGTATTGGGTAGGTGTATGTATTGTTCTGCCCACTCAGTATTCGTAACATCAGCACGTTTCTAACCATTTGCTGTTATGAATGATGTCTCTTTTTTTTCTATAGGAAATAGCCAAAAAAACAAGTGAACTTTTAAGCAACCTGAAAAGTCTGGCTGAGGAAGGAGAGGATGGGAAATTGTCAGTTACATTAGAAACTTTGAGAGCACGGAAAATGAACCCGGCTACAGAAAACTTCCTGTTTTCCCTGGCAGCTTGTGAAGGACTCGTGAAGTTATAATCATATTTTACATCGTTTTTGTCAAATGTATTTCTGTGATAATGAACTTAATCCTTGACATGGAACTGTCGCCACATCAGTTGTTGGTCGGTCTCTCATTTTACCTTTTTAATTTAAACGATGTCTTCTTAATAACCAAGAGGCCTAAGATGATGGTACTAGGAGAGAAATATGCTGGAATGAAGGTTTAACAAGTTTGCTTAGAAAAAGCCTTCTCCTATATCAAGGTCACAGGGGTCATACTAAGAAAAAACTTTTAAATGACTTATTCTGAATAACAAAAAAAGCTTAGGGTTCAATTCAAAAGTATTTTTATTGACAATACATATATACTTCCAACATGTAAGTTGTATATATTAAATCAGATGTTAGTATAGTTTTGACAAAAGAATCGGACAACAGGCTAAACCTATATCAGTCTTCTTCTATTGCAGTAGTGATTAAGTATATAGAATGTGGTTAGTCTCCCTCTCATCCACACCCACAACCAACACTAGCTCATGTGTATTACTGATTGTCTACAGGACGAAACTTGCTTGAATAATAATAATAGTTTATCAAGTTGGAATTTAACTGACACGTATAAGTAGATGTTTTGATAATTTAATATAAGAGTCAACATTTATAAGAATAGTATTACTTAGTTGTTCAGATGCATTGCTAATACCATATAATAAACAGTGCCGGTTTAAATATCCTAATAGATTATAAAAAGCTTAGGGTAATGATATTTGGTCAGTAGCATGCTGAAATGAAGAGCTACTGTATAACATGAAATGTTCATTGTGTATAAACTTTGTGGCTTTGGAAGTTGTTATTGAACAACGAAAATAAATACAACAAATTTGAGTGATACACATGTCTACTGTTTGTTGATGAAGTCTATCCACGAAAGTTTGTACCACCACACGATCAAAATGGCTTCAAATCACGAAGGAATGTATCCATGAACATTTCGTGTTATACAGTACATTGTATCATGTTTGTGCAAATGAATGACATTTACCCATATTCAAGGTCACAGGGGTCAAATGTGATAAAAACTTTTAAACGACTTCTAGCATGAAGAAATTTGAGCAGAAGCATGATTGATGAAAGGCTATCAAGTTTGTTCAAATGACTGACCTTTACTCAATTTCAAGGTTTCAGGCATGAAATGTGTTAAAACCTTAAAACAAAGTTCTATTCAATACCAACTCTTTAGGTTAAGGGGTCAATTCATGTTTTGAATATTTAAATGACTTCTGCTCCAATCTGATGATTATTGACCAGCATCATGCTGGGATGTGTGGCTATAAAATTTATTTATTCAGTTAAATGATTTTGACTCACAGGGGTCAAGGTTTTGTAAACCTTAAATCACCTCTTCTCAATGAACAAATTTCCAGAATGATGCAGTGTTTTTTATCAGACTTTCAAGTTTGGGGGTAAAATCAAGCGTAAATGATGTATTTGACTCCTTTATATGGCAGACCTCTTTATTTTTTGAGGGTCAGAAGCCATTTTATGAGGTTAAATAACACCATATGGGGGTTAACAGAAACCCTGGGACTAATGATATTTAACCAGTAGAATGCTGGGATCAAGGGCTTCCATTTTTGTTCAAGTGAATTACCTTGCTAGACTTTCAAGGTCACAGAAGGCAAATGTGCTCAAATCTTTCAACCGGTTCTTTTGAATGACCAAATGTCATAGGTGATTATCGGCCTGTACCTTCATTTATCTATTTAAATATTTTCACCTTGGATTTTTTTAAGGTTACAAGTGTGAGATAAATACCAGAAGAGCTATGTAGTGAAGTAATAACACTCCTATTTGGAGAATAGAGAACTGATGTAGTCACCTCAGCGTCGTTGTCCCTGACTTCAGGATAAAGATTTACAGATCACCACAGTCAATAGGCTGTTGATTGGAAGGTCGAGGCATTTATATGAGCCCCCCCCCCCTTTTTAGCCCTCATAAAAGTGATGAGGGAGACAGTTTTTCAACTTTTAAAAAATTGTGATGAAGCAGGTATTTATTTTTAGCTCACCTGGTACAATGTGCCAGTTGAGCTTATGGTATGGCGTTTTGTCCGTCTTCCGTCAGTTTTTTCTTTGAACATCTTCTTCAGGACTAGATGACCTATGGCCATGATATTGGGTCAAGTATGTAAATATCTTTAAACATCTTCTTCTGCAATACCAGAATGCTCTGGGTGATGGTATTTGACCAGTGGCATGATGGGATAGAGTAAAAAAGTTCATTAAGTCTGGAACATTCTTAAGCCTAGGAGACTGAATATATGGAAATATTTCCAAAAGTACTTTTATTGAGAATATTTTTCCATGATTGCTGAAATATCCAGGTGAGCGATACAGGCCCTCTGGACCTTTTGTTTGTTCAAGAAATATAAATTATATATTGAAATGTTCCATTTCAAATAAAGTATTTTAAACAATGGTGTTGTTGAGTTATTACATTTACATGCAAGACATTTATACTGACGATATTAGGCCACTATGGTTGAGCATTTATAGTAACTCCACATGAATCATTTACTTACTGGCAAACCAGGACAGTTCAAGCATCTTCACAAAAAACTCTTGTCATATGATTTTTTCATCTGACTTTATAAGTAGGCATTGTACAATTTCCCTTCCTCTTTAGAACAGACACAAAACCATTTCCACAACTCTTGTAACTGTGCACACATACTAAAATATCAGTAAACACGTTAGTGTTTACATTACAATGTAATATAAAGTACTAAAATATCAGTAAACACGTTAGTGTTTACATTACAATGTCATATAAAGTACTAAAACATCAGTTAACACGTTAGTGTTTACATTACAATGTAATATAAAGTACTAAAACATCAGTTAACACATTAGTGTTTACATTACAATGTAATATAAAGTACTAAAATATCAGT